CTTGTGCAATTGATCTTTCTTCTTACGCTTGAAAACCACGCAATTTTAGAAGGAGTATTACTTACAATGAAACAATTTTGAAGCATTTGAATTTATGCAAAAGCTTGAAAATAAAAAATGACTGATAGGCAATAATAATGTCTGTGGGTCTTTCAAATCAACTATTCTTTCTACTATTTCCTTCAACCAACTATGAATGCAGGCTTGATTTTATGGACTTGAATTGCATTGTATCTAGAAACAAAATAATTTTAATTAAAGTTGTGTGTTTCAAGATATTTTTAAACAATTATATCATTTTATCAATAAATTGAATTGCAATATGTAAATAAATATAATTTAAGTTAGCCTTTTAAATTAATATTTAGTGATGAAATATATCATTCCGTTATGAGCTTTTTTAGTGTCAATTTGAATCTAGGATAACATAAATTAGATGATGCGAATTCAAAACCTCTTCTTTGAAATATATTTATTTTATTCCTTAAATTGTTACTTTGCTATACAAATTAATCTCTTGTTTTAAAATGTATGACATGATTAAAAAAAATTTATAATCAATTTAAAGGAGAAAAAATTATTTTAATGGATATTTTGGTTGTTTTAATATTAGAAAGAATAAGCGGAGGGGGTACATACTATTCTCAAAGGAGCTATAACATTACATCTTAATTCTATAAAATACGAAATGGGTTTGATATTTAAATTCGAGCTATTTTGTTTGATTAACACTGGATCCCTAATTTCATTATAACGGATTTATTAATTATCACAGTTATATTTTCCTTTAACATTAATATAATAATTGCTTTTTCTACCAGTAATACAAGCCAAAAGTAAGGGGGAAAAAACACTCAGAGGGTCAAACAATTTTATTTTTACCAATGTCAAGCACTATGAAATTAAGAGTATACATACTTGTATGTTCAACAAGAGTTCCATTTTTTTTTACACCTATTAACATCCGATACTGTGAAAAGGGGACAAAAGGAAATGTAGTAAAAAAAAGAATAAAAAGTTGTCCCAGTTGGGATGGTACGACTAATTTTCACATCTTTCCTCACCATAACCGATTAGGTGCCTAATATGGCGGCATTACAGACCTCAGTGCATAGGTAATGATGGAATAGGTGCCCATGCAGGGAGTGAAGTATTCAGCAGAGAAGGAGGGGGTCCCTTTTTGCGGTAATTTGTCCGAAGGGGTTGGTGGAGGTGCCCATTACCGATGTGGGCTATCGCTGTCATTAAGGATAAGGGGTGGTGGGAAGTAACGTGTGGGTGCATCACCTGATAGTAAAGCCATCAATTACGTAAGGAGAGGGTTTTCGAACAAGCGATTAAGTGGTGACGGTGGAATAAAAAGAGGTAAAAATCCCCGAGTGCTAACGATTTCCGAATAGGGTGGCCAGGAAGTCAGAAGAAGATCGTTCAGGTGAAATCAATTCCTGTCACCGACGAAAGTGTTCCGATGTCTCTTCTTCTTTCTGTGGGATTGGAATTCGGTTCGGTGTGGAGCCACGTATTGTTTCCTGTTGCTAGGAAGCCTTTTTCCGATCGATGTAGTCTTCTTTTTCTTTTTTTTGGTTGATGTCCATCCCCACCTTTTTGGCCGAAGTTAGTGACAGGTTGAGTCTTGGTGGAGAACACGGCAACAAGGATTGTGGTCACTGGACTTCTTTTTTTGTATTGTTAAGACGTATTTAACAAGGCGTCATTCTTACACTCGACTTCTTGGAACTTTATTGTTGCTTATGTTCAAAACTTGTGTAGTTAGAATGTCGGAGGCACAGTTGGGATTCAATAGTCAAAGAGGAATTTTTTAAGATCTATTTGAATATATCAAATTTATTCTTCTTTACTACATGAACATTTCATTTTATATTCTTATTAGTAAAATCAAAACTTCAATTTTATTTATTTTATTTTATTTGATGATATGTTATTTAAGACTTAAAGACAAATGCATTCTCAAATACAAAATGATATTTTTGCTAGTATATATATATATGTGTGTGTGTGTGTGTTGTTAAGGCAATAAAGAGAAAAAAAATATGCAATATTGATTTTTCATTGGTTGAGTTAGAGTCCATTAAAGTTTATTATCGTCTGACTATAAAGCTACACGAGGGCTATTGGTGGTGCTCCTCGTAATTTTGAACTACGTTCAAGTGAAGAAGATCCTGAGATGACACCCCTAATTTAACCTACAGCATCACGCTAACAGGAGAACATTTATGCCTCGAAAGATTCAACGTGCATCAACCTCTACACGGCGGTTCTTCAGTGGTACTGGAGCTCGAACTCGTGGTATGTCGGAAATGCGTTTGTGACCAAAACCAATAAGCTACAGCGGTCACTCTTTTATGTTGATTATAATTAAATATAGAACTCACACACACACACGCGCTCTCTTTCTTTTTGAATTTAGAATTCTGGGAAGACACTTCGAAATGGTCTTCAAATTTATAAATGTCAAAACTTTCTTCAAATATTCTTGAATTTTCTTTCTTATTATCTTAATACAAGCCTTTTAAACAGTTATTCAATCAAATGCAAATCCTATTAATATAGTAATAATTCCCATAACTTTTCTTTTGAGGGACATTAATTCATAATGGTTTTAAGCCTTACAAGACTTACCGTGTTAATTAATTTCTAGTTTACTCTCCTAATGGGATATAACTATAACCTTACCTCCCTAAAACTGAAACTTCAGTGCTTTTAGAAAAAGATGAAGCAACTTTTCCCAGTATTAGTACCAATCAGAAAAGTCTCCACAAGAAATCGTATGATTTTAGTAATTTCTGGCTAACCATGATTATAAATAGACGAGATCTCAGGAGTTAACAATAAATGTATATTTGTGTATGTGTGTGAATGTCCTTAACGCGTAGTGTTTGGTTGCCCTCGTGTATTCTTGTTGTGTTTCGTTACTGTTTGTTGTGTTTAATATAAAATGTGGAACTAAATCCCAAGCTTGTTCATTATTTCCATGGTCGAATTGAGTACCTAAATGTCTTTAATGAAGTTTGCATGATTAAATATATTTAATTTTTTGATAAAAACTGAAATTTCCTGTGAAAATTAATTTTAGAATGAATATACGCATTGTTAATCCATCAATAAAACGAAGCCAATTCTAGTAATAAAAAATGCAGCTTTTCATTCTATCTAGATTTGTTTTGTAGGTTTGTGATATCAAGATTACAAGTAAGAATTATTTATTCCCAAATAAAGGGAAATAAGACAATAGTTTAGCAGTGCAATAGTACAAATCCCTCTTACCTCTAGAGTTCTGCATCTTGGATCAAGTGATTTCATACTCCCATTCGTACAAGAGGACGTGAAATAAAGCATGCTGATTCACTATAGCTGCTAACCATTTACAGCTATTACACTTCAAACATCCCAACCTGCATTCGTGATCACACCTCCTTTGTTGACAGACACGCTGATGGGTTGTTTGGAACGATCTGAAGTTATGAGCCTTGCAATGTCGAGAGAGGCCATTAACCTGAAAATTATGCGTCCCGAAATGTTAAGTCCACGTTGTCTGGCCCTTCTAAGTGACCAGACAGTGTAAATCGTCGAACACATAAATTCAGATGGATGCATTCTAGTGCGAAGGACAAAACTCTTACATTAATAGGATTCTAAACTACAATTAATTGAATATGTTTGACTGAATGGGTAGATAAATTCATTATATAAATTTAATAAAAATATCCACTTTAATATGATGTCGTTTATATAGTTGTTTCGAAACTAACTTTTTTCTTCACTCATTTGGAAATCTATTTCGTTTATAATGTAATTAAAAATATTTATGACTATAAATATTTCTTATGATGACTGGGAGGAGGCAAGCCAACATTCCATTATACAAATACTCATTGCTCAAATTGGAAATCTGTAATATACATGTATTTTGCTGTACACTTTTTCAATATATATATTATTGAGAATATTTATAAACTCAGTACAGTACACAATGTATCACACGGGGGCTTACAACACAAAGATCCAGGCCTTCTCCGGAATTCGAACCCAGGCTCTATGGCACCGCAGTCAGCGTCACTAACCACTATACCGGAAGGATGACTTTCAATATATTATAAGCAGGGAAAAACATTTGAAGTCTGTATCTCCGTATTTTATTTTTAACTTCAATTTAGTGCCTCTTCAAAATTTGTAACTATTACATTGAACAGGAATTTTTGTCTTTTTATTATTGCTTTTGTGCGTGAGATAAATAAATAAATTTAATAAGTCATCATGAAAAACATTTTTTATGTATAGAGAGAAAAATAATACTTTAAATTTCTTTTAAAAAAACTTAAATTGAAAGAAAAATTCATATTTTTTAAATGTTTTAGGGTTTTCAAATTAGTTTAAAACGCTGAAAAAAATAGAATACAAAATGGGACTGTGTTTATTTTTATTTGTTTATTAACAAATGGGAGAAATATAAATAATATTTAAATTTTTTCTCAATTTTAAGTGAGAAATACTTTTTAAAAAAGTCTCGGAATATTTTTCAAAACCCATTTGGGAGGGTGTGTGTACAAGTGATTATGTACTATGGAACTACAAACGAGAAATATGAATAAATTATCAAGTTGATTTAGTTTAAATATCAATTTTCCTTGCTTCATAAGTTTATTAAGAATACACTGATATTTTTCTATAATCTTTAATTTATACCTGTAATTCGTAATAAAAAAAGTTTTAATATGGATGACAGTAACGTACAAAGACTTCTCTTATGGGAGAGAGGGGGCTGGGTATATTCTTAAAAAGAGACGAGGGCGAGAAAGCATCAAGAGGTAATCTCTGTGGTAAAAATTAAAAATATTTTGGTTTTTGGAAGGCTGAACTCCAAACCACCCTTGTGTGTACGCCATTGCTCGACGACAGTACATTTTAGCTGATTCAGTTGTTACTTCAAATTCATTGACCCTTCTTGTTTACGTTACGCTTCATAACGTCATAAGTACTATTGGCCATCCAATTCTGCAAACACCGGTTCTCGTCCAATCACCAAAGTTAAGCATCTTCGGGCGATGTCAATAATAGGAAGGGAGATAACCTGGGAACACTGCGTGCCGTTGGCATTTTTGGAATCCCACTCATCCGGCGTAATAGTTAGTGACGCAGATTACTGTGCTGTAGGGCCTGGGTTAGATTCTCAAAAAGAGCATAGATGTATAGTACATTCACGGCATGGAGGTACTCTAAATAGCAGCCGAGCAGCAAATCCTCTCGTAAAGTTGGTGGAAGGGAAAGCGAGGAGGGAGTTCTCTGACCACTCCCAGGGTATTCTCTTAAATTTGGAGTGGAACAGAGCTAAAACCGTACTGGCACTACTATGATGCTAAGCTACGGCTAACGACATGCGTTCAATCTAGCCCTTTGCCATGATGAACGTCATGGGCCTCCATCTGACACAACCAATCTGGTGACATTATCAACAACAACAACATAAGTGGCCACGGTGGCCTTGTGACCATGATCACGAGCTTGTGACAGACGTGCCATGAGTTCGAACTCTATTACCAATGAAGACCCACCGAGACGTGTAGAGGGAGTGATACACGTTAAATCTGTCATGTCTTAATGTTTTCCCGTTGATATGGTGTAGTAGACTGAAGAGGGAATTGCAAGCTCAGATGTCATTCTCGTTAACTGTTTGAAGTTCAAAATTACGAAGTTCGTGTTGCGAGGATCGTGTTGCTTTACAGTGTGACGTTAACAAACACTCAGAACGAAAGAAGGGCTATTGCTGAAAGATATTGCAATCTTGAATTACGATCAAGGGATGTGACTACAATTTTTAAGCTGGCACCTTCTCTCCAAGTGGCCATAATGCGCCACTACGAGGACTTAGAACGTCCACAGGTTTAACGTGCTTCAAACCCTCTATACCAGGGGTACTCAACCCGTTTTTCTGCTGGGCCGCATACATATGCCAGCTATTTCACGCGAGCCGCAACATGAGGATAAATGGGGAAGAGGAGGGGGGAGGGAAAACGCTTAAAGACAAAGATAGCATTGGAAATTTAACATGTGGAAAATTAATCAAAACATTATAACACCTGTTTTTGCTTTTTTAATAATTATTTTTTATATTTTTTATTTTTGTCACTAACACTAAATTAGAAGCATTTAAGAAACACTCCTTCACTATTTCTGTATCAGTAAACGGTTTCATGTCATTAACAATAATAAAACAAACTTCTTAAGATGTCTTTGTTACCCCTGTGATATTACGACTGACAAAAGCACTTTGTTGCCGTTCCAAAGATTATTCAAGAAAGCCTATTTATCACCTCTTGAAAGGGATCTTCGAGGAAAACTGTCACTGAATGATTCCTGTTTATTGGTATTTTTTAAATACAACAATTTCGTGACAAAATGTTGCAAATCAAACTAATACTGATCCATTTTTTTTATCACTACAAAATAGTCAAACGTCCAATCGTCTTGAAGCGATATATTTTCTTCGAATATTTTCCCCCTGCAAGGTATGAAATATAGTTAAAAATTAATTCCACCCATAAAATGGTCACTACTCCACTATTGTCTGTTATCACTAACCTTAACCGTTCCAAAAAGAAAAAGAATATCAATTCCTACCCATACGACACAGACAGCAAACAATGATATGTTTGATTTCTTGACAAAGAATTTCCCCCAAATTTTTAATACAATGTTCTTAAATAAGTGAATTTCTCAGAACAATGGGCCATGAACGGGACACTTAAAAAGGTCCAGTGGGCCGCAAGTTGAGTATCAATGCTCTATACTGTGGGAATTATAACTTCAGACATTAACAAATTCAAACCAACTCTTAATTTTATTTTCTAATTTATCTTTTTAAAATAAAAATTCATAATTCATAATATTTGCATAGATGTGTTATGAATATAATAATGGGCTCGTCGTAAAAAAAGATTCATCATAGAGTAAACCAGGAAAACTGCTCCTACTTAATATAATCACCTCATTATAAAAGAATAATGTGGCCTGACTTCCACAAACAACTGAAACTTTTCAATGCACTGACTCTCTCTTTTCCCACTGAAGTACCTAATAGCGGGCTCTCGAAATTAATGCAGATTAGTGTGAATTTCAAGTCGATCTGCAAGCTCCCGAAATCATGAATGATAGCTCTGGAAATATATCGCTGTTCTTTGTTTGTTAAATTGTCGCCAAGACGCCAGAAAATGAATGCTCACAGGAGTGAGAATTACGCCAGCTCGGGTCTGAGGTCAAAGAATGAATAACAAACGCTGCCAAGTAGCTCTGAAACACCTAATGAGTATCAATGGTATTTAAGAAGCTCTCATGCATGTTTAAAATCGCTCTCTTACTTAATTGAGCCAAAAAAATTAAAGTCACTTACCGAAATGATGAAGAGTCTCTAAAGGTGGAAATTTAGGGTAGAAATTATTGCATGAATATATTACGCTGACATTTTTGCCACTTATTTCAAATTTTCCAAATGGAATATATTGCTACTTCTATTCTGAATATTTAAAGTCCTTTAAATACCCAGTTCAAGCGTCTTTATAATAGTCACTTGAATGGTTTTGCATTCACGCTTGTTTTAAGATAAGAACTTAACAATCCTTCATTTATTGTTAGCTTATTATTTTTTCATAAATTTAAATTTTCGGGAAAAAACTCACGATTTTTGAACAATGCATGAAGGTAACATATATGAAACAGAAGTTTTCTTCATTTAGTGTATTTATAACTTTAAATATTTTAACGAGTTTATTTTTCATATATTGTTTTTACTTATTTACACACATTATGCACATAAGTGTAATTTCTCTTTTCTCTCTTACTAAATATTTCTTCTTCCTTTCTTCATAAATATACAGTAAACTGTTTAAGATAATTCAAAAACATTATTATAAAAGGTGTATACTGTAGTAATAAAAAAATGCTGTTTATGAGAAATTGACAGTTTACAAATAACGTTGAAACTCACTGCAAGTGTTACTTATATTTTCAAAATTTAAAATACTTGGTGAAAAATAATTTTTTTCTTTTTTCTTATTTTAAATATCTTAAATTTGTACAAGTATTGGATGTAAATACTAAACCTTAAACTATAAAAAAAACTTATAGCAGTATATAATTAAGATACAAATCATGATTCTAGTTTTTCAACAGTTAAAAACATTGTTTGATGTTTGTATTCGTAATTAATTTTTAAAAATTTGATGAATAAATTTTCACTACTATACTCAGAAGAATCAAGTAATTAAGTTGATATCAGAAAAACAGCATAACTTTGTAACCATTAAACTACTATGCGTAATAATTTAAAAAACGTGTATTATTGCTTGAGGCGTATTTCGTTAAATAATATTTTTATATGAACAACTTACATTCTCTCTCTGTTACTGTACACATGGCAAAAATTGTTAATTTAATAATTTTGCATTGCAGTCGCTTTAAATCAAAAAGTGAAAGCTACTGTTCCCGGGCCTTGTTATTTCGAACCCCAATCAAGTGATATTAATCAATATTTGAGCTTATACCTTACTCCTTTACCTCCAGTAATATAAAGCATGATGACTTGACAATTGATTTCATGTAACGCCTAATACTCCACGTTTTTCAATGCAATGAAGAAAGAGATTAAATTTAGAATTAACGAAACAAACATGGAAATAAATGACGCATAACTGTATATGCTTATTTGCATAACTAAACTAATCATTGCAATATTTGAAATAATAAAGTTATTGTCTCAAACAGACTCGTGTTTATATTGAGATCGAATATCAATCTCTTCATAATTATGTGAATAAATGCAATTATTATAATAATTTTTATTATAGAAAGATATCTTAAGCCGGGGGTAATTAAATTTCTTCCAAAAAAAGAAGGATTTTTAGAAGTTTTACATTGGCAAATTACTTTACATTCAAATATAATCACTAATGTAGAACATTCTAGTAAACAATATATAGTGTGAATAGATAGACAATATACACCTTTAATATTACGCATTCTCGAAATCTAGATGCTTTCAGTACATTTGATATAATCTAGCAGTGGTTACTGCATTATAATTCGCACCTATGGGGGTATGCCATTTGATTGTAGGGAAGGATTTGGTTACACTGAGTGCTTTGCAGATTGATAGGTCTTACTCCTGTTACGCGTACAGAATTCCGTGTTGAAGATGAGAATGCAGGAACCACATTCTAAGATGTGATTGCACAGTAATATCATTTTAATTTTCTTCAGATAATATTTTCATCAAATTCTCCTAGAAATAGTCATATTCCGCATACAAGTTACTAAGTAACCTTGCACATGAATTATAAAGTATTGCTTATTATTGGAATATATAAGATAAATCAATCCTTAAATGAGTAACAGAAGGCACATTATGTGGTTACATTAAGTTATGAAGGTAATATCGTTTCCTTAGCAATTACAGCAGCTTTATTTTCACAAAGCTGTTTATAACTTCTTTTTCACTGTTTGTATAAAAGCAGCAAAACTATATTAAGTTGAAGAGATTGCATAACTCCCTGACGCAGCAAAATTTATTTTGTATAATAAACGCACAAATAATTCCTGTTGTAGGTTTTTTCTTTCATGTATCGATTTGGAATTTCAGAAGAAAGTTTTGAATAGTTAATCTATTGTGCGTTTTTTAATAATACGTTCAACTTAAAAATATTTCGAATTTGAAAGAAAATATTTGTGCATATATAAGAAATTTGTATAATTGAATTACATTAAGATATCGTAAAGAATCTTATTGTAATGATTCGATTTTTAAAAAAATGCTTTAATATACATACCTATGTATTCTACAAAAGGAAAATAAATTAATGCATGCAAAACAAAACAAATTTTGATGAAGATTATTGTTTGTTTGCTTTTCTAATGGGCTGCATTTTGGCGGTTTAGCCTTTGCAGACCCGCAAGTACCCAAGTGTGAGAGCCATTTCATTAGTGGTGGCATCTAGATGTGGTTCCCGTTACCAAATTTTTGACGCTTGAATTTATTCAATTCAAGCTCTCATCTTGCATGTGATTACATGTCATATAATCACATGACATGTGCATCAACGAA